CTCGTCACCTCGCGTACAAGGCACTCAAATACCAAATAACAAATCCTAAGGGGAAAGGTCCCCCACACAAGGTTAGACAAGCCACTTACCTCGAACCGGCTCAAAATCAACTAGAAACTACGCCTTTGCCACGAGTATCCGACTCCAAATGGCCCAAATCTATTCAATTCAAATACACATTCTAAATAACATCGCAAGCAACTGATTCTACTAATTAATTCAAAGCTAAGGCGCGAAATTAGGTAAAATGACCAAAATGCCCTTCAGGCCAACGTCTCGGAATCGAATAATTTTTACATTTTCAGAACCCTCGTACTCTCACGAGTCTAACCATACAAAAATCTCCCAAATCGGAGGTCAAACACCCACTCAAAACTCAATAGTTTAGCCTATGAAGTTTCACCTAATTTTTTTCCAATTTTTCATCCTCAATTCGAGTTTTAATGATGGATTTAACTACATAATGATGAAATATAACTTGAGGGGATTAAAGAAACGTTACCCAATAATCTCCTCTTCAAAACCCTCTCGAAATCGCCCTTCCCCGAGCTCAATTTGATTTTTCTAACTTTTGAAAACTAACCCTCGAAATCTCTATATCTGAAAGGGATTTCCGCTTCTGCGGACCAGTAACCGCTTATGCGGTTCCGCTTCTGCGGAAGTTAAGCCGCTTTTGCGGCTCTGATAAAAATCCAAGGTTCCGCATCTGCGGTTCCTTTCTCGCAGATGCGAGTCCGCCTCTGCGGGATTTCCTCCGCATCTGCGGAGCCTGAAAACTATGCCCAAACCCGCTTCTGCAATGCTAAGGCCGCTTCTGCAGCTCCGCTTCTACGGTTCCCAAGCCGCAGAAGCGAAAATACCAGAAGGGAAAAACTTCAGCTGCTGCAACACTTCTCAAATTTTCCCGTTAACCACCCGAAATCATCCCGAGGCTCCCGGGACCTCAACCAAAAGCACCAATAACACCTAATACCTCATTCAAACTTGTACCAATCCTTAAACCACCTAAAACAACGTCGGAAACTCGATTAATTCAAGGATTTGAGCCTAAGAACTTCCAATTTCATCAAAATACGCTTTCGATCAAAAACTCAACCAAAACGCGTCCGAATGACCTAAAATTTTGCACACACGTCCCAAATGACATGACGGAGCTGCTGCAACTTCCGGAATTCCATTACGACCCACGGATCAAAAACTCACTATCGGACCGAAAATTTCAAGAATTCAAACTTCGGCATTTCAAGCCTAAATGAGCTACGGACTTCCAAAATACATTCCGAACACGCTCCCAACCCCAAAATCACCTAACAGAGCTAACGTAACCATCGGATTTCCATTCCGAGGTCGTCTTCACACTGTCCCGACTACGGGCCACTTTTCAACACTTAAGCTCTCATTTAGGGACTAAGTGTCCCAAAACTCTCTGAAACCCAACACCGAACGTCCCGGCAAACCAAAATAGCAAAAATGAACTTAGGGGAAACAGTTAATAGGGGATCGGTTCGTAAATTCTTAAGACGACCGGTCGTGTCGTCACAATGATGCCGATAGCTGGTTAATGCTCAAAACACATGAGAATGTGGCTATTTATAGATTTCTCTAGGCAACAAATTAAGTGGCTTTGTCGATGTGGGATCAATTGTTACAATTTGTCTGCTAAAAGGACTTGACCCTTAAGGCGGCAAATATCTCCTAGTTACATGAAAATTGGAAAAGGGAGATAATGGTAGTGTCTGAGATAAAAAGAACAACGAGAGAATAGGAAAACGCTCTATTAGAATTAGAATTAATATGGGGGAAGTTATCTGTGGGACCCGCATAAGTGCATGTATTATTGGCCAACCATCAAAATTGTTGCATCCAGCTTAATTTAAAATGTTAGGCCATTGGTCTTTAGAAAAAAAAGATATTTTATCTTGTGGTCTTTAGAAAAAAAAGATATTTTATCTTGGCATAAATGGTCAAAAAGGTCGTACTACGTAGAAATGCAGGCAACTAAATCAATTGTGCATTCCAAGTGATTATTTTATGATACTTCAAGTCTAGTCTCGGAAAATTCATGACCTCACACCTCGACGAATCTTGAAGTAGGGGGTATTTGTAAGCATTTAAATTTTACCGAATCTAAATCGATAAAATAATTTGAACTATATTTTAAATTCAAGACATTTTAGTCCAAGTAAATTTATTGGGCTAATATAATTGAATTTCAATGTATATGGATTAGATGGGAAAAAATCTCACTTTATACCCATTAAATTCAAACTATTTACCCTTAAATACCCATACCAAAACTATTTACTTTCCCTACCTATGCAATAAAAACTATTTACCCGCCCACATTAGAAAGCCATACCTCAATAATAGAATTCTGAGAAATAAAACATTTTTCTCAGACTATGGCTTTTCCATAGGTTCTATAAACATTTCTAATTACAAGATTGCCATTTACAGTACTTTAAATCAATTCCTAAAAGCAAGAGAATTAGAAACAAAACATCGGAAATGGAATGCTCCAAAGTAGGATCGGGATGGGGAATCCTGTCGTATGCTTCATCGAAAACAACTGACACCTTTTACCCAAAGCACATTCAGATTACATTATTTGGTCTCCAATTAAATGTAGCTAATATTATTCTTTGATGTGTAGATTGTACCTTTGATGCTGGTTTTTGGAGATTTTTTGTACAAAAATTTAAATCCACCATTGACGGACCTTGAAGTTTGAAACTCATAACTTGGTTTGTTTGAGTTTTTAATTGTTTTGATCCGATCCTGTATGGGTTAGTTCAGAAAGTTGATTGGAGGTTGTAGCTAAAGTTTTAGTCAATTTGGTGGAGATTTTATAGTAAATTTTAGAAATTTGGGTTGAAATATAGTTGAACCAGAGAAGAAAGCGAATTTGTATTGTATACCCAAATAGTATACAAATATACCATTTTAGTATACAATTGATTCCAACTATATACCCTATTAGTATAGCTATATACAATATTGGTATCATATGCTAGTTGAATTGTTGTTTGGTTGTATTAGCTGCATTTAATTGGTATAATATTTGATTTTCTTTTAATAATAGTAATATAGTACAATATCTTGAAATACCTTATTATATTAATATGTGGTACACTATTTTTTTTATTTTTCTCTTTATGCATGTGTGTTATGTAATAGTAGTATAGTCATATAGTTGCCGGGAGATAACTAGTAAAACTGTATACCATATTGGTATAGTTATATACCATATTGGTATCATATGGTAGTTTGAACATTGTTTTGGTTGTTTTAGCTGCAGTTTAAGCGAATTCTATTATGAAATTAGTTATATCAACATGAGTTGCAATAATGCTGGAATTTTTGTGTGTCGTTGGACATAAATTGTGTGTATTAACAGTTTTTATAGTTATAGGCAATTGTTGGAACGACCCCATACAACTATATACCTTCTTAGTATACGAAATGAGCAAGTTGTTTTGCGAATATTTAGCTTGCAATACGAGCATGTAATTTTCTCATACTTTATTGCGTTCCTTTAATGTTTTTGGAAAAGTTGTAATAGTTCGCAGTNNGAGTCGCAAGCCTTTCTATCTTCAAAAGATATGAGTAACGCTGTGTAAACACTATCCTCTCACTTGTGGGATTACACTGGGTATGTTGATGTGTTGGACTTAAATGGATGGAACGACCCCATACAACTATATACCTCTTAGTATACGAAATGAGCAAGTTGTTTTGCGAATATTTAGCTTGCAATACGAGCATGTAATTTTCTCATACTTTTATTGCGTCCTTTAATGTTTTGGTAGAGTAGTATAGTCGCAGATAGTTGTAGAAATCAT